ATAACTACATTCATATACAGGCTGATCCATTTAAGAGGGTACACTAATAATCTCGAAAAGTATTAACTTTTTTATACATTTTTTTTTTTAAAAAACTTTAAGATTTATGCGTTTATAAAACTGTATAATATTTTAATTTTTTACCCTTATATTTATCAGTAAAACCACTAACAACTTTTGATTTTCAAATAGGAACATATGGTTAAAAGGTCATAAATTAATAGAACCATTTTATTTATGAATATTCGCATTAAAATTTTTATTATTCGTTATTTCCTTTGCAAGATACAGCTCCTCAAAGTTTGGCGCTTCAATATATTTTATTACATTTTTATTATTATATTATCATATTATATATTTGATACATTTAAAAACATTTTTTTTTTTTTGACACGTTATATTATAATAATATTATGTAGTAGAGTCTACAGCTAAATATATGTAGGTACCCAAAACTAGTTTGAGATTTTTGGGGTATTGTTATTACTATCTCCAAAATGGAGAATTTCGAATGACATCGGAAAACGTAGATCCGATATCAAATTAAACGACTTAAAGTTTAATGTTTCGTTTTAGTGCACATACGAAATGTCAAATTGAGGATAATTGTGTTTTATATACCAGACGGGATTAGATTTCACGACGTTCAAAATCCTTTTAAATAGCTTAAAAGCTTTAGAAATTTAATTTACATTTTCCAATATCTTTAATTTTCTTTTATGTTCATCGATGATTGCATTTAAATGAAACGTAACAGTAATACTGCGTTATATCGGTGTCAAATTTGGTTAGTGAACAATAGAATTCGACTCGAAGTTATGTATTGAATTATGTAAGTTGTTTTCTCGATATCAAACTGATTATACTATATACGCTTGTGTTATTCTTTGTTTCATTCTAAAAAGAAAAAATGTGAAGAAGAACAAATAGATAGAACTATTTTTATTTAAATAAATTACCAATTCAGAAACATAGACAATATAAACTAGAGGACTACATCATATATACTTGGCGAATCTTATATTATGTACATTGTACAATTATATGAGTTCATCAAGGGATTTGAGATTACATTTTTCTACATCTAAAAGATACTTAACTACTTTTAATTTCTTGACGAGAACAATATATTTTATACCCGATCGTTCATTTATTGATTATTACACGTTCAAGATATCTTATCGTATTTATATATTATAGCTACATTGCAGCTTACAGATATTTTCTTAATATGACCTATGTTTATAATTTAATATTTTATTGTCAGACTAAAACGTTACCTACTTAAATTATTTTTAAAATAAGAAATAAGGGATATGGCATTTATACTAAGGTTAGCTTAGATAACACATTCTGCTTGCATTTGTAATACTGGTTCACGTATAAAAGTTAAAATTAAAAAAAAAAACTTAATTAGGACATTAATGATATATTTTAAGTCCCTACTCAATAAGTATTTATTATAGTTTATGAATTATTATTATTTCATATCTCTTAATTTATATTTTCAAATTTAAGCATTTGAGTTTTCTAAAAAAATATTCAATAGTCATTTTATCATATCAATAAAACACTATTCATATGTTTAGTATGCGGATATTTCCATTGCAGTGCGTTCCAGGGAATAACACAGACAATTACGAAATCCATATTATTAATATAATATTTTAGAATAAAAAGAATAAGTCGAAATAAAGCTTTGATCATTCTTTTCTCTGATACATGCCACAAGGGGGGGAGGTTATGTGTTTAACAGTAGTTCACATAGTATGCGCCATTTCACAGTATTGGGTATGAATAATATGTTCCTGTGTTCTCTGTTAAAACGTAAATCGCTGTACCGACTTGAAAATATCAAAAGATTTCCGTTAACCCTAGTCAGAATCGTTGGTATAAATTGTCCTTTTATCAAATGAACTCAAAATACTATAGGAAACCTGTTGTTATCGGTTCTGTATGCTATGGCAACTGTCAACTGAAATTAAAAATTAAATTATTTTAAATGATATCAAAACATCTACATTCCGCATATAACACGCGTCATATCCAGTGACTTTAAGACAGTTTTTATCACCTATCAAGAGGGGGCACATAATTAATGTTCATCAGAGTTATGGCAGGAGGAGAGGTGAGAATAACTATAATATTGAAACGCCAAAGAACTAACGTTGACATTTGACACTTTAATTATATTGATACCGTCTGCAGTTTATATACTCGGTGCGAGTCGTGGAATATTTAATATTATTATATTATATTATTCTCATGGCGTGAACAATTTGTCTTTCCATGTCTATATTTTTAACGCGAGTCCTGCAAAAAGTTCTTTGACACCTGCCCAAAATAATTAGTTTCCGTAGAACGGTCCACATAACAGCCCGATAAGATGGCTCTGCAGCCGAGTATAATAATTAGCAAATGTCGTAAACGCTCGCGGTAATCAGCCCACGCAGAGGAGAGCGAATCCGAATTAATTTTACCGCAATGTTGTTCCGACTGTGTGCGCTACAAGACAAGTTGCGAGATCCAAATTAAACAAATCCGTTACAAAACCATTGTAGTACAGCATGGTTGTAAGGTAACCTCGCATGTCAAACAGGGTGGTCATCTGAATGCGCTGTCTAACGGTGGGATGTGTTTGATTTATTTAAACAGCTACCGACATTTTTTTCAGCTGATTTTGAATTTTGACATTTTTCTCGAAATGTTGTGGGCGCATCTAGCATAAATAATTCCGAGTTATATTGAAATATGTATATTGATTTGTAAACAGCTCTTTGAATATAACTGGGAAGCTGAAAAGTGAAACGCAATATTATTTATTTCGTTATGCTGAATTCTCGTACATCTTAAAGTTGGCGCTTCATACATATCTCATCCAATCTTATATTATATATGTATATACAAATTAGCTTACCGATATTATACGGTAACGTTGAAACATGTCAATGCTCATTGAAATGTTCTCCTTTAGAATATTGTGAAATCTAAGTGTGGTCTGTCGTCAAAAACAACCAAACGACTTCTAATTAGTGTTTGGCAGTTTCAAAATACTATCACTTTGTACACACAGGTACTTGAGTGCTGAAGTGTGTGGCACATTCGTCTATACATCGTACTTACCTGAACAGATTAAAAAAAAATTTCCAGAACGATAACATCGAGTAGTACACAATGTGTTTATTGTTTTCATTTGTCCTCGAACAATAATTATCATTAAAAAATCTAGTTGGCGAATATCACTCGGTGAGAGTTTTCGCCCGGACATTGCGAAAGTCCGGCGGAACTTGTTTACTCTATCCACATCTAATCGTCGTAGTATCGTGTGTTATTATCACGACCACAAGGCTGCCATTTTTTTAAACGAAAAGTTCTCGACAGCGAATCTATTTAAAACTTGTTAGAAACAATCTGTTTTATCATACGTGACTGATAATTTCGCCATTTTTTTAATTACAATACAAAAATAATAGTATTAACAAATAAAATATAGGCACTGAGTTTTAAAAATACCGATGAGTGCCAAAAAAAAAAAATAATAATAATAATTAAAAAAAATTCTTTTATGACAGCAGCCATTGATATAATCTTATAGATTTAACTTTTAAGACTCAAAAACTTTTAAGTAACTAATTAATTTCAGCTCACTTCTTTTCTTTATAAACATATTGCGGGCTAATTATTGCATCGAGGTAGAAATATGGAGTTGCCGTGTCATAGGGCCAATATTTTGGATCTTAAAAATATTACAAGAATCGTCAATATAATTTTATGACTGTTATAACTATATTATATGTGTCAATCTAAGTAATATATACATGTATTAGCCACGATAAACAGTATAATACAACACAAATACAATGGTATGTGTTATATAATAATTAATAACTATACAGTAGAGTTGCTATAATATCTCGAATTTAAATAACTTGAAAAGCGTCGGTCCCTTAGGATTTTCTTATTACTGCAATGTTATTTTAGTCTTGTTATCTTAATGCTGATATACATACTAGTAGTATGAAATAGAGAGTTCTGCTGGTGATCCCGTGATCCTCGTGATCCCTAGTGATCCTCGTGATCCCCGTGATCCTTGGCTCGTAATCTCGTGATCTTTGATTGCGTACGTGTGTGATGTATATTTACCCCACCACCATATGATCCGGTACGTAATCAATATATATTTTAATATTATCAATTAATATTATTATCAATTATCACACTAACCTAATCGATATTCGTGATCCTTGATTGCGTACGTGTATGACGTATATTTACCCCTTCACCTGAACCCGATCACACAAGTATGCGATGTATATTTACCCCACCACCATATGATCCGGTAAGTAATCAACATATATTTTAATATTATTATCAATTAATATTACTATCGATTAATATTATTATCATTTATCACATGTTATTATATATAAAAACTTACTATAACGCAAAAAAAAAAAATATAATATTCTGTGTTAGGATCGAACCGAGTGTATGTACATATTACTTGTTCATACTACCCACCTCGACTCTAACCCATTGAAAATATATTCGAATTATTATATCATATAATATTATATAAGTTTTGATGACACTATATTAAAATTAAATACTGTTAGTACTTAGAAATCTCTTAATCGTTAGACTTCTAGATATACTCAACAACAACAAATTAAAATACCTATTAGTGAATAATACATAATGAAATTTTTACCTTCTCACGAAATGTTATCATACCTGTTAGTGAATAACACATTAATAACCAATCTATGCTAAAAAATATCTTAATCGCTTAACAACAACAAATTAAAATACTTATTAGTGAATAACACAGTGATAATTGATATACATAATGAAATTTGTACCTTCTCACGAAATGTTATCATACCTGTTAGTGAATAACACATTAATAACCAATCTACACTAAAAAATATCTTAATCGCTTACACGTTAGACTCTTAGATAGCTCGATATTGTATCCCCTACCAATTAATGGACCCATCCACACCCATCTTGTCTCTGTAAGAGCTGACATTCATTCAGTCTGTTCTCAATCTTACACAATTGTAATTCTCCTCTACGTTTCTATCAGTCTTATAATTTATTCTGAGCTTATATTTTTTCAAGTCATATATTATTCTATAGTGTTTATTATTTGTCTAAGTCTTTTAAAAGTGTTCTAAATTTTTCTAAGTCTTTATAAATTTAAAGTGTTTATTATTTTTAAAACATGGCTGGTTCAATCGATGACAACGCTACCTTATACAATGAGAAGAAGAAGGCTTTCACTTATGTACCACCAACACCTCCGGCTGAACTCATCGAGTCTACATCTTACACGTTAGACTTTACAGCTAGAAAATTTATAATTGTCGGTATCGATCCAACAGAACAACTTCAAACAGTTGTTCTTTTATTAACATCGTCACGTTATGTGAAAATTAGTACAGATTTTATAAGACGGATATTCTCGCTTATGGGTAACGTACTATCTTTTATATTAGACAAGCCACAAAATTATAAGCGAACCATATTTCTCGAAACCGATTCTTATAAAATATCGAGTATGGTGTATAGCGGTTCAAACGTTCTAGTAATTGAATCTAAGACTAAAGACGGATGTAGAGTTTTATTAAACCGTATAGATTTAATAAAACTCCAAGAATTAGAATGGTGTATTACTGCTAGTATTAAAGAAAAAGAAGCGAACATAAAACCTAAAATTATTAAACAAATTAATAATTATTGCGAGTATTTGAGGAAAAAATACTCGCAATCGGATTCACCACCCAACAATTTGAGGGAAATGGAAATTTTCATTCGGAACGTTGAAGTCAGGCAGAGTATGGACACACCTAACCTCAGTCAAATTAAAATGTTTGCGACTACACAATTGGCGGAGCTTTGTGTAGCTCATCGGAACGCACGAAACTCAGAAGTGATAATTTTAAAAATATATTATTACATATATAAAATATTACTAATTACTTTTTATTTTAGCCATATGACAAGAATTTCAAAAGGTTGTCATCTTTGTCACCTAACTTTTCAACAATAATGGATGAAACGGCTAAATTGTATGAAGACATTGATGCATGTGATGAAATCAATCCGTTGGAGGATGATAATTTAGTTAAGGTAATTCATAAATATAATATTATGTACAAACATATATTTAATTAAGTTTTTATTTTTATTTTACTTGTAGTATGAGTATTCACCGATATCACCAAACTATTCTCCAGACAACAATATATCAATTAAACAGGAAGTTGCCACTACATCTATTCTAGCTAAGGTAATTGATATATTGTTGTCTGGAGAATAGTAAATTTAGAACACTTTTAAAAGACTTAGACAAATAGTAAACACCATAGAATAATATATGACTTGAAAAAATATAAGCTCAGAATAAATTATAAGACTGATAGAAACGTAGAGGAGAATTACAATTGTGTAAGATTGAGAACAGACTGAATGAATGTCAGCTCTTACAGAGACAAGATGGGTGTGGATGGGTCCATTAATTGGTAGGGGATACAATATCGAGCTATCTAAGAGTCTAACGTGTAAGCGATTAAGATATTTTTTAGTGTAGATTGGTTATTAATGTGTTATTCACTAACAGGTATGATAACATTTCGTGAGAAGGTACAAATTTCATTATGTATATCATTTATCACTGTGTTATTCACTAATAAGTATTTTAATTTGTTGTTGTTAAGCGATTAAGATATTTTTTAGCATAGATTGGTTATTAATGTGTTATTCACTAACAGGTATGATAACATTTCGTGAGAAGGTACAAATATTTCATTATGTATTATTCACTAATAGGTATTTTAATTTGTTGTTGTTGAGTATATCTAGAAGTCTAACGATTAAGAGATTTCTAAGTACTAACAGTATTTAATTTTAATATAGTGTCATCAAAACTTATATAATATTATATGATATAATAATTCGAATATATTTTCAATGGGTTAGAGTCGAGGTGGGTAGTATGAACAAGTAATATGTACATACACTCGGTTCGATCCTAACACAGAATATTATATATTTTTTTTTTGCGTTATAGTAAGTTTTTATATATAATAACATGTGATAAATGATAATAATATTAATCGATAGTAATATTAATTGATAATAATATTAAAATATATGTTGATTACTTACCGGATCATATGGTGGTGGGGTAAATATACATCGCATACTTGTGTGATCGGGTTCAGGTGAAGGGGTAAATATACGTCATACACGTACGCAATCAAGGATCACGAATATCGATTAGGTTAGTGTGATAATTGATAATAATATTAATTGATAATATTAAAATATATATTGATTACGTACCGGATCATATGGTGGTGGGGTAAATATACATCACACACGTACGCAATCAAAGATCACGAGATTACGAGCCAAGGATCACGGGGATCACGAGGATCACTAGGGATCACGAGGATCACGGGATCACCAGCAGAACTCTCTATTTCATACTACTCATACTTAATGTAGAACTTTGTCTACTCGAATTTTGAAGCGGGTGAATTTGTTGCTATACATACCTGATACTATTGTTTTTATTGGTGGCAAACGGACTGAATATGGGCGAAATGAAAGAAAAAACAAATCGCATCGTACATAATTTTATAGAAAAAAATATATTTTTTTCATACAAACTCTTAAATAATACTTAAACACGTCACATTAATTTTTTGCACATATTACCATAAATTGTAATAACTAACGTATGATATTTTACGCCCGATAGGACTCGAATCATCGCCGTTCACAAACGATAAATAATCGTACCGTTGAACTTTAATAATAATAATTGTAACGTATTAGTTGAAAACTGTCAGCCGGCCTGATTTATGCATGTACCACGTGCGTATTGTAATTATTGTTATTATACGAGTGTGTAGAACAGCAACCGCGATGGTTCCAATATCACACACCCTTTATGCAATATGGGTTTCTCATTATAGACCGCTCGACCGCTGCCACGGGGCGCTCTCTGTATACGCGTCGCCGATACATTATTATAATGTACAGGGTGAGCTGGGCGTTCCGCACAAGCGTTTTGAGAATGGTGGTCATTGTGAACGGGGTGTTTGGAAATGGAATGAAAAATCTATGTTGCGGTTCGCACGTTCTAAGCTGAGAAAATGTATTACTATACATATATTATGCACTACCGTCTACCAGAATATGTTCGCCCCTCCCCCCCCCCCCCCCAAAAAAAAAAACCTTATATTCATAATATGTCACAAGGCTTATGAAATTGTCAATAGTCCGACGTGTGAAGTATCAAAAAATACTAGTTTTGTGAGACGAAATGTCTGTTGAGAGAATGACGTATTGTTCGATGAGATGACAACTTAATGAGCATAAGGACTTATCAATTAAGAAATGAAAGCTATCACATGAGAGTTCCAGGTTTTCTAACCCCAAAATAAGTTTAGATTCCGTTCACTAATATATTATTGTATCGTACTCGACGTGTGTAGAGTGTCTCTAAACGCCTGTATGACTAATAATATACATCTTGTGGAGATGGTGCATCCAGATCGAGAGCAAATTATGTGATTCGTTTTCAGATTTTCGCATACCCCGTTTCTACCGAAATATAAAGCTGATGATAATATTTATTTAGGTACCTACGCGTGATATATACTACGTTCTCAAGTAATAACACAGAAACGCGTTGACAGCGATTTGGCTTCCAATCGATACATATATTAGGTACGTACCTATATTTAGTTACATAAGCTGTAATAACTAAGTATCCGTACAGAAAATAATATGTAGGACGTATTCTACATACTTAGGTCGACGTAATGTAGTACAGCCTCACATATTATATTACTCCGATAACAATATTCACTTTTCTGAAAACTTCTCAATGTCGACATTTAATGAACACAAGCGTTATAAAATAGGTAGGTATTAAATTACGTTCGTTTGAAAACCATGATCGGCAAAAACGCATTCGACTATACACGTGTGTGCTTATGTGTACGTTTGTAGTTTTCAAACGAATCATTATTTCATATTATGAATTATGATATAAATTTTAAAATAAAAACAAATATATACATAAATATTGATGATAACAATGATAGAATAATACATTTTTTATTTATTCATAACAAACGACTTAATTTTGTTTTTGTACACAAATTACAAACTATAAAATAATAATACTGTAAATTAAGAATATAAATATAATATTATAAAATATATATTATACTAGAATATAATATTAGGTACTATATAGCATAGTTAACTTATTTGTTCAATAAACAGGATCTTTGAATATAGAGGGGAAATGTTCAATTGCGAGCAAGCTGTATGCACTTGAATATTATATCAGTTTTCAATAGAATTGATTTTGATATCAATAAATAATCAGCGTGACCATGCAGTAATAGTAAATTTAATAACCTAGAATATATCAATTCTTTGGAATTTTACGCACTGATATGAAAATAATATTTCATAAACGAACAAACTGGAGTTTCATTTTTTAATATATTCATTTAATATAAGAAGAGCCCGGATAAGATTTCAAAGCGTGACCTTTCTTTTCAGTCTATAATATAATAATATGGACATGCATACAATATATAAATTAGAAAAGTCACTGTCGATCCAAAGCGTATCTATCCATAAGATTTACAACACACCGCAGTTGAAAAGAAGACATTACCCCAAACCGTATATCATACAATTATTGTATGGATTGGCGGACAATCGTAATTAAAAATTATCATATTACAATGTTAAATCGAATCGAAATATTATTAGCAGAAAACACAAATAAACGACGACCGGAGAGCTTATTTATGCTTTACTGGTGGGGTAATAAAACTTTATCGGCTTTGGGAAAACCGACTAGAATTTCACGTAGAGACCCAAGTCTATTTGACGTTGGTATGTATATAACTACCTGCCTGCTTAAGGATTACATTGCTGCGTTGATGGTTGTTTCTATATAGTTGTAGGCCTGTACTTGCCAACAAAACGCATTCGCTCTCGCGCCCGGAAATTCTCGACCATATTGAGCTCGTAGCGATAAATCATTAAGTGTGCCTGCACATAGTTAAATTCTCGTTCTGCTGCGTAATAATAACGATAATAATCGTATATAATAATTATCCGTTACCACGGAACGCTGTACACTGACACTGTGGCGCAGCTGGGTTTTAGTTTTCTCGAAGAAATCGCATCACGCGTGACATGCGTCAGGAAAAGTATTTCATATTCCAAGTTCAAACTTGAACGTTAGCTTTAAAAAGTCTTTTCGCGATTTAGGTCGTCAACCCCGAAGAGTGTGCATCTGTTCTGTGGGACCCTTCAACAGATTCTTAATCGATTGAGAAAGTTCACCGCACATGCCAGCTGATGTCTTGCTGCCCATACATTCTTAAAGTCCCTTGCCCACCTCGCGGTTACAACTCTATCCACCAATCCCTAAGCGTATGCAGTCTTGCCGTCAGACGACATAAGTATGGCGAACATATCAAGCGTTCTAAACTTTTATTTGGTGTAGGTTTCACTTACACGTTTATTTCGAAGTCTCCGTTAAAAATCAAAGCAAATCCATCACTATATTATGTTACTGTATGTTCTTCTTCAAGTTATTTTGTTCAAAACGAATCTTCGCCATTCAATGCATATTAGGTATAATTATTGTCAATAGTAAATTGTAGCACTTAGAAACTTGTAAACAATTCCCGACAATATTATTATGACATTGAACAATTGATCGATAAAGACGAATCGAGTGATATAATATTATTATTAAAACTACAAACAATTACAACCGGAAGTCGGGAAAAATTACAGCATCTTACACTTTTTGAAACGTACTTATACTATAATATATAGGTACTACAATAGAACATACTATTCTATATATCACTAAACTCGGCCATGTTCTTGACTTTTTATGAAGAAAAAAAAACAGTTGTATGCTATGGAAATTCAAGTAAACCCATTACCCGATAACAATACGTGCAGGTATCGTACTGGTATACCATATTATACCAAAATAATATTTTAATGGTGCAGCGCCAATATCGACACAGAATAATATAATATGTATTTAGGTATATCAATGTGTAACATAATACGCTGTTCTCTATTGCCCCCACGGGCGTAATCACTATTAAAGAAATAAATAACAACCCTCACGAGTTCTGTATGTAATAATAATAATAATAATAATAATAATAATATTATGATATAAAATAATATGGCGCGGGCGTGCGGCGTACACGCTACTTGCTAGGAAACCGATTTCCGCCGGAAGGCACGGCC